CTGCAGGTACAAAGTCAGCATCTTATCTGCTGAGTAAAGTTCATCTGCCACTGAACATTTATTTATGGTGTGATGTCGGAAAATATTTATTGATTAAATTCATGAAAGGTCATCAGAAAATTAACTCTTGGTTTTGCCGTTCTAGGGGAAAATATTTAGTGAAACGATGTCTGAGCGTTTCAGGTATATTTGACCTCCAAGGTTTGCTATCGTCTAATTTCTCATGTTCCTAATGTTACTTCATATAGCCCTCCTTCTCAGTTTGTACCAGAATGTTACCTCTCTTCTATTGTTCAACGTATGTTTTCAGTCAGACATTTGTACTACAGTGTATCTAAAGTAGTGCCTGTATCATCTGCCCCTCACTAGGTGCCAAATGTTTGTTTAGGTTCAGGTTTATCTCCTGAAATAACAAGACACTACCTCCCAAGAACAACACGTTCTAAACCCACATTAGAATGTCTGTATTAGACAACTTGTGATACTAAATTACACTCAAGTGCTAATATTTATTCTATAAAAATAAAAAAAGAGAGATAAGAGAGAAAAGAAAAGAGAATTTGATACTGTTCACGTTAATGTGCTAATTTTGCCATTTGACTGAAATGTCACAATTTATGCAGGGAAACCTTTAAACAAATACCCTCATGATGACATTTGTTTTCTTTTTCATAATGGATACAAATTAATAAATGATAAATAAAGGTGTATTTTTTTCACGGTTCAGTCATGGTTTTCACAGTTTGAATTAGTTGTTCTGATAGCAGTATCAGAAATTCCACCGTTTGTGCCTAAAATGCGGTGTTGGTACCTCTGAGCACACTGTGCATCGATCCGATAACACATCATTTATTATCCCTGAAACAGGATATAGTAATAGATGTATAAAGACACAAACAGACACTTTTTAAACACGTGTATCTGAACGGTACTCTGTATTGCCCTATATGCAAAGCTCGGGTATTGAAATCAGGAAGGAAAAAAATTGCATCAGAACATCGCAAGTTTAAATTTAACTTGCTTAAATTGTTTTTCAGATTAAGCAGTTTAAGACACCCAGACAAAAAAAGTCTCACCTCTATCGTCACGGCTCTTGTGAAAACAGATGAACACGTGATCGCCCTGCAGCTGCTCTTCTGCAAATTCCAGCAGAAGGGCAAAACTGTAAAGAAACAAAACAAAGTGTTAATGTATTATAGGAGGCATGTTAATGAATTTCAGAAGAAAATAATTATTCCTGACGGTCTAAGTACATTTCAACGACCCACACTACTGCACAAAAGCAAATATTAATAAGATTAGCTAAATGTTTGAGGAATATAACTTCATGTGTTTTATTTGTAATGAATTAAAAATGTATCTTTTATTTATTTTCAATCACACTGAGAGAAGATTTTTCTTCTAATCGCTGATTCATTTTTGCCTGCTGACCTGTCTTTGCTGCCCTCGGGCAAAGCTCCAGGAGGTATTTCAACATAAAGGTTCCCTCCTTTCAGCGCTGCCCTCCAGACACAGTGCTTGCCTTCAGAGCGACGGGGCTCAAAGACCAAGAACCGTACTCTGCCGTTGGCAGGGGGAGGCTCCTCAAGAACTAGCAACTGAGCATCCTAGAGGACAGACAGGAAAAGTGACACAAGAGAAATACATTCAGTTCAGATACCACAAATAAAGTGACAATATCAGGAGGAATAAAAGCAGTAATAATTCAGAAAAAAACATCTGCGACTATTCAAATTAACTAAGCACTGAAAAGTAAAAGTATGACGACAATAACAAAAACAATTCAGAGCTGTCCGAGGCAACTGTTAGACTTAGTTCTGATCCAGATCATGTGAGGAACAGCAACTGCAGCTGTGCCAAATAAGAAGCAATAAAGATAAAAAGGCAAGTGTAGTTCAGCCACAGACAGTTTGTGTGTTTTGTCAGAGATGATGAGCTTAGGTCAAACGCACACAAGTCTGGCACGTCACTGATCATTATCAAGCACGTCTTGATCAGCAATCTTGTGGCTTGACCAGTGAATGTGCTGATTTCTCAATCTGACCACCATTACGAAGGAAGTCACGTATCTTACAGTTACAATCAGTTATTATGAAGAGATAGCCTGTGATTATCTGCAGCAGGGCAACATCTCAACAAAACAATGACATAATTAGCCTGACTGAGGTCAAAGAGTGATACGATTCAAAACTGCTGAATTGCAAACTGCCTTTGTGTTCGTGTCTCTGCCAGTCGATAAGCTTGTTTTTCTAGCCCGAGGTGGGTCCACACTGCATTACCCCTTAACCCCGATCAAAAACACCTTCCAACTAAAAGTCTTATTGCTGTAAATAAATATTTTAAAAGTCGTTCAACTTACAGAATAGAATAGCTTAGCTGAAAGATTGCGATCCCGCTGGTCATTCCCTCGCCCACCTGGGATCTTCAGGGGTGGGAGAGGGGCATCAGGAGCACCACAGAGGCCCCGGACACGGGTTACTGCAACAGCGGGAGCACCTCCTGGGATTGGAGATACTGGAAGACGAAACAAACACACACACAGACGGAGCCATAGTTACGTGGGGTATTCACTGGAGGCTCTGTTAGCAAACTCCCAATATAAACAGCAGACGTAGAACACGTTACACTGTTGAGTGATTCATCAGTAAAACAGTTGCTAAAGTTGAAGGCTGCGGGGGGCACAGCTCAATCAGTAACTGTCCTCACCTCAGGTGTGTTGTTTGTATGTTTCGGATGATAAACATTTGACATTTGACAGGAAGCAGGAGCAGTTTGTTACATCACTGATGACTCATCAAAAACAAAGTGTCACAATTTAGGACGTCAACATTCAAATATTCACTACAACCCCTCCAGAGAAAGTGTTTCCATTTAACGGACACGTCGTGATTCTCGTCCTCATTCCCTGTGGAAACATGGATTGCTCACGATGGAAGAGAGATGTTTGACTTTCTAAAACAGATTTGTGTGTCTGGCTATTTGTGGGATAACTTTAAGCTTGTCACATGATTTTTAGGGGAAGGCTGCCAGAGGAAGAGGCTCTGTTTGTCTAACCATTAGCCTTCTTTAGTCCTGCATTAACCGCGCTGCTCCAGTTTACAACAGACAGGGACGGAAACCAGTTTAGTGAGGGAGATCAGCCATTTTAATTCAGCCGTTCAAGCGTTCTATAGAATTAGCTTGGCTCTGTGTATGAGGCTGCATACATTTACAGGGTTGATTGTAAGCCTATCCTCACAGCTCCTATCGGGAACACAACCCATTAGGAGCAGCAGCGCTGCCACAGCAACGCACAAGCTCAGGCGCTCACAGATGCTCTCTTACGCAAATGCCACTGCTGTGCTATATGTGGAGCACACGTGTGAAAACCCAATGAAAACCCATTGTCACTCCAGTAACTCCGGCCATCCGAGTCATTACGCAACGTGCAACCTATTGTCTGATCTTATGAGGGAAACTAACACGGGTCCTCACAAAATCCCATTACCAGATTATGTAAAACAGCCAGTTACAACCTTTACATAAATCCTTCAATGCATCCTTTCGAATTAAAACTCAACACAAAGCACAAAGGCTTTGTATCAACTTATCCATTCGGTTAACGCCATTCTCTGAAATCCCCACGTCGACAGCAGGCAGCAGCGCACATTCACACCCCGGCCATGAGCAATGAGCCTCTCTTGCGTAAGAGCACCTTTGCCATCTATGACTATCCTGTGAAAGGACCACTGATCTCTGGGGAGTGTTGGTGCTTCGGATGTTGTAACGCACTGTTAGAACAGCCTCATCTCAAAGCAGACCACGGGATCAGCGGCTGCGAGGTAATCGGTTTATAAAGGCACCTGCTGATGTCTTTAAAAAAAACAACAACTGCAAATCATTATTTTACACAATCGATAAACAATCATTTGAGTGCTGCAGAACAGAATCTATGCAGCTTCAAGAAATGATCAAAATGAGCAGGGCACACAGTAAATAATGATATATATACTGAAGGAGGAATGGCGTCTGTGTACAATATGTCATCATTGAACAGACCCCCCCCCCCCCCCCCC